CCACGACAAGAGCATCGATCGGTGCTCTTGACAGTTCCTGGAACAGGAGCTGATCTCAGCAAACCCGCGGAGCCAGAAGTCACCTCTGCTTGGTGAGATGGATCAATATACTTCCTAACAGGCCAGAAAGTGGGGTCTCTCCACTCGGATCAAGGGAAAACAAGCATAGAGGCTTGGAAGACTTAACAGAGGAGTCCTGCCCAATTTGCGAACAAGGTATTGCCCATGTGTGTAGGTACATGCTCGCTTGCACATTGTTAGACCTGATTCTGTTTTGCAAACAGCAACCTCACATTTAGCAGAAAATGAATTATTCTCCCCATCTCCTGATCAATGGCAGAAAATGCTTTGCTGGCTAAGTCTCTCCGTCTTAGATTGCTTTTATAAGCCCAGGAGGTCCAGAGGAGCAATTTTTTTAAAGAAGTGGAGAACTTCTATGTTGAACACGTTTGAGATTTAAGGAATAACATCAAACCTGGACTGTTTTTGATGAATTTTTAATAGTGATCAATTTTTAAGAAAAGTATCGGCTCATCCCTTTTAATTTCTTTCTTTCTGTAACCCATACATGCATCAGCTGCACCAAACAAGGAGTGTTATTTTAAAAACCCACCAAAAACCGAAAAAGAGACTTTTAAGGCATCCTTGGGCAGGTCTGCACTAGTTTAAGTTGGTCTCCATTCAGTTTGTGTCACTGGGACACTGATGCCACCTAGTGGGCGAAGACAGCATCAATCTCTCTCTCTCTCTCTCTCTCTCTCATGAATAGAGGTTTAATACATCAGATGGAGGATGGATATTTGAAATTCCAGGAAAATGAAGCTGTGTTGCTTCTAACAGGCAGAGTTCTGCCTGAAATCCAGAGTCTTTGAAATAAGAAGTCTTTGGCAAATCAGCCTGCTGGAAAGCAAGCATGCCCAATCTTCAGAAGAAAAAGAAGGCAGAAAAGCAACTTGTGGGGGGGAAAAAATCAGCAATCTGCCCGAAAGAATTTGAAGTAGAAATGAACAGTCTGATGATTCACGATACGGTGTAATGACATGGACACTGTCCAATAGGACCCTTTGCCACCAAGAAACACTTGTGATGTCAGGACTGTAGTACCGTCGGCAGAAAGAACAATCACTTCCCATCAACAACATTTGAGTAGTGCATGATTTCATGTGGCAGTGCTCCCTTGGACGATGCAATCCAGACTCAACGGTGACAGGCTTTGCAGTAACCCTGTCGTGGTGGTGGGGAAGCACAGTGTTTAAACCAAGAATAACCAAGAAGAAATGTGTAGGGCAATCTCTTTCAGAAAAAGCAAATCCGGCTGCTTGCCTCCTTGCACCAGCAGAATTTGCTTTGACACCTGAGGAAGCCTTCCTGTGGTTTCCCTCTTTTCTTTCCTTGAGCCCCTCCATCTCAACTTGCCTTCTGCCATGAGCTGATCCTGGCTCTCCTCCAACAAATCAGTAGCTGTCCCATTCCTCCCCATTTTGACTCGGTTAACTATTTAATGGACAGTTGGCAAAACCTGATGTGGGACGTGGTGGCGCTGCGGATTAAACCGCAGAAGCCTCTGTGCTGCAAGGTCGGAAGACCAGCAGTCGTAAGATCGAATCCATGCGACGGAGTGAGCCCCCGTCGTTTGTCCCAGCTCCCACCAACCTAGCAGTTCGAAAGCATGTAAAATGTGAGTAGATAAATAGGTACCACCTCGGTGGAAAGGTCACAGCGTTCCGTGTCCAGTCACGCTGGCCACGTGACCACGGAAACTGTCTTTGGACCAACGCTGGCTCTACGGCTTAGAAACGGGGATGAGCACCGTGCCCTAGAGTTGGACACAACTGGACTAAAATGTCAAAGGCGACTTTTACCTTTACCTTGGCACAACCTGCCATCATTGAATCAGCTAAAAAACTATAGGAGAAAATAAGACTGATATGTGACAAGTTGGGGCAGGATATAGGTAGTGTTCGTTTCCCACTCCTCACTTCTTCCTTACTCTCTAGTGTTTAATTAAATATTTTCTTGCTCTTTTTTTCTTGTTCTTCTGTAGTGAATGGATGCATCCATATTTACCTTCACTGCAACTGCCCGCTTGGTAGCCAGGTGTAAAAGCTTCAGTCGAGGTTTTCTCCTGTTTCAGGCTGAATGGATTTCTTGGAATGCTAAATTCTTACCATCTGCATCCTCAGTGATTACTCCTAATTCATAACCCTAAACTTGCTTTCCCAGCTTGGCGGAAGGCTGTTTAACACACTTTTCGGCCGGGTGAGTTTGGTTTTAAATCAGATCGATTTAAATCACCATTTAAATCATGATTTCAATCACTAATCTCGAAGCAGTTTGTTTTAAAAAAATCTGATTGAGATCAAATGTTTTAAAATCTGATTTGAATCCAGAAAAAAAATCAATTTAAATTAGATTTTAAAATTTCCATTTGGATTTTTTAAAAATAAAATGCTTACTTAGTGATTTAAATTGGTTTGCTTTAAATGGAGTCCACCCTGCTTTCAGGTCTGAAGAAGGGGGTTACAATCCAGAAAGTTCACCCTTTGAGATGCTACAAGGATTTTACTTTGGTTTTCATTCTATTTCTGCTGACATAATGCCTGCAAGTTCCTACATTTGGTTGGATTTCTTCCCTGCTTTCACTCACCTGCTTTTACTGACCGCCCGGACCTTTTCAGGTCGGCTGCTGTGGCTCTTGGCGTTCCCCGTGAGATGGAGAAGCGGCTGGGATATCCCATGGAGCTGATGAAGGGAGGCAGTTTGGGGGAGATCTCGGCAAGGGTCGATTACGGATCCACTGGGCAGAACCGTTGCCCTGAATGCAGAACGGAAAAACCAGTATCAGCAGGAGGTGGTGCAAGTATCACGAGAGATATTCGATATATGCATTCAGAGCTTAAGATAGAGAAGTCATCTTTTGGACTAAAAGTGGACTGCTTAAAGCTCTCAGAATTCACCACTGCTGGTCAACAAGGTTGATTGGGTGTGCAGGACATCAGAAGGAGAATGTTTTCCCCAAAGTACACACATATCCTGCAAACAGGGGCAAGCTGATTGACCAGAAAGATAGGAACAACCTATTCAAGACTGGTAATAGGTATTTTAGGGACGTGGTGGCGCTGCGGGTTAAACCACATAAGTCTCTGTGCTGCAAGGTCGGAAGACCAGCCGTCGTAAGATCGAATCCACGCAATGGAGCAAGCCCTCGTCGCTTGTCCCAGCTCCTGCCAACCTAGCCGTTTGAAAGCATGTAAAAAATGCAAGTAGATAAATAGGTACCACCTCGGTGGGAAGGTAACGGCATTCCATTTCTAGTCGCGCTGGCCATGTGACCACGGAAACTGTCTTCGGACAAAACGCTGGCTCTACGACTTAGAGACGAGGATGAGCACCGCGCCCTAGAGTTGAACACGACTGGACTAAAATGTCAAGGGGAACCCTTTATCTTTTAACAGGTATTTTATTAAAAATTGTACTTCCTGGTCTTACAATGCTTTAACATCAGCAGTGTTATCCTCTTTGTTAAGCGTGAATGTGCACTTAGTCTGTGTCTACATTTGATGGGAGCCTGTGTTTACATTTCAATAAATGTGCTGCTGATTTCCCCCAATATTCCATGATTCCTTCCTTCCTGTCCCTCTACCCCCCCATGTTGTGTGTTGTCAAGTCCCCTCCAACTTACAGTGACCCTAATAGAATTTTCAAGGTAAACGAGATATTGAAGGAGAGGTTTTAGCTGGCAGGATAGCTCAGCGATTTATGACTCTGGCTGCAGAGCCAGAGGCCAGAAGTTCGATTCCAGGGCCTCAAGGGAGAAGAGCCAACCTGGGTAGCCTTGGGCAAGCTGCACAGTCCCAGGGCTCCCCCTTGAGGACGGAAATGAGAAACCACTTCCGTGTAGTTTCTGCCTAAGAAAATCCCGAAAGGAGTTACCATCAGTTGAAATCGACTTGACAGCACACAAATGTTAAATGTACTAGTGCAAAGCCCACCCTCCAAGTTTGTTTCCATGGCAGAGGGAGTGTTCGAACCCCTGTGTCCTGAGTCTTAATCTGTCACTAATTCACTGCGTCACACTGAGTATTTCATCTTTTTCAAAGTTCGTAGGGCTGAAACAAACTTGAGTACGTGCAGGATGCACAGCTGACAACATGAATTTACAGCCAGATATCCTGGAATTTGGGGGAGCATTGCTTTCTAAATACAAGATTTAGTGTTAAGTGCTGCTGAGAAGGCCACATTTATGTCACATATTCCCACAGTCATTCTCCAGATATGAATCCCTCTGACAAATTTAACTCCCATGAATTTTTGTCTTCACACAGTGAGCTTTTTTTTAAAATGATTCCACGTGCATCGCAGAAGAAAGCAGAATATCCTTCTTTTCATTCCATGCCCAATGTGGAATTTTTTTGGGGTTTCTTTGGAGAACAAATCCCGTTCATTCTTCTTCCTGGGAGTTCTACCTTGATAGACAACACTTTCATGCGGCTCACCTGGGAGCTAGGCCTAGCTTCCTGTTCAGAAAGGAAGTTCCTCTTCCTGGGGTAATGGGGCAAAAACAGGATGAGCTAGGCCTCAAAGCCAGGGAAGCCACGGTTAGGTGTCAGTCAAGTAGAACTCCCGGAATGGAGAATCCAAAAAAAAAATCTGAAAATCTGATCCCTAGCAAAAAAATCAAAGAAGGTGTTTCTTACCTGATAGCTAGGATTAGGTAGAGGGACCTTCTTTTGCCATGGCAAATTCCCTCGAGGGGGGACTGGGGGTATCTGCAATTCAGGATCCGGGCATGGGGCCGAAGCTATACTTATTGGCTAGGGGAAAGGAGGAAAACAGAATTCTTGTTATTATTATTGCTGTCGAGGATGACTTTACTTATAGTCTGCCTTTCTTTTAATCCTGTGGCACCAAGTTGGTTCACACCAGGATTTCGAGAAAACAAAGACGTCTAAAAACACCATTAGAATATACAAATATAGCTAAGCAGATTCTCATATTAAAACAACAGCCAAATCTAAGAAGGCACCCAATGTAATGTTTAAAAGCACCCAAAAGACAATTGGCCTCTTGGAAAGGGCAATAAGGCTGGGAAGGCTGGAAGGCAGCAGGGAAAGAGGAAAACCGAATACAAGATGGACTGACTCTGAAAGGAAGCCACAGGTTTGGGCTTTGTAAGACCTGAGCAGAGCCGTTCTGGACACGGTATTTTTGTAAGACCTGAGCAGAGCCGTTCTGGATACGGTGTTCTGGAGAGCACTCGTTCATAGGGTCGCCATAAGCCACAAGCAACTTGACAGGACAACAACAGCAACACATTGGAAGAGAAAGAAGAAAAACAGACCCACAGTACTCCTATTAGAGACAGGTTTTGCAGCCAGAATGTAAAGGACTTTGCAGGAGAAGGACAGAAAAGGGAAGCCTGAAGCAGATCAGTCTTATGTGACACCCCAAAGACGCTGGAAAAGACAATAATGCTGGGAAAGGTGGAAGGCAGCAGGAAAAGAGGGAGACCCAATACAAGATGGACTGACTCCCTCAGCAAGGCTGTTCAGGACAAAACATTTAGGAGTTTGCTCATTTACGGGGTCGCCATCTATCACAGATGACTTAGTGATACACACAGCAACAACCATTTTCCTTATATTCTGCTATCTGGACTAAGATATTGGGTTAGAAGATCATTCTGAGATAAAGCAGATTTGTTGGGTCGACACTTTTGCATTTCAGAGACAAACCTTGCGTCCCTGAAAGGCAGTGAATCATTATTATTATTATTATTATTATTGCAACTCTCAGCATAACCTCTGCCAGCATGAAGGAGGCCATGGTGGTTGGGGAAAATCTGGGACTTGTAGTCCAAAATGAGGGAATTTGGCCCAGCTGGGCGGATGCCTCTGGCTGACCTCTTTCCTCTGGCGCATGGTGGCCATCTCCTGGAGCACAGATGCCACGTCCTCCAGATCACCCTCGTCTTCCTCCAGGCTGGCGTGGTCCTCTTCCTTGCAGGTGAAGGGGTCGATGAAGATGTCCTCGTGGCCCGAGATCTCTCGCCGGCAGAAAGGGCAAGTGTGGGCTTCGGAAAGCTGCCGAGGACAAAGCGGGGGTGGGGGTGGGGGTTAGTGGATTAGGTTTTGCCCCCAGCACCACTCCAAAGCTGGAAGAAAGGGAGAGATGCTTTCCAAGGAAGAGGTGGGGGCAGAGGGAGAGACGTCTGCAAGCTGGAGTACCTTGGTCTGTCTGGAACTACAGTAGGACCCCCATATCCACAGGGGATCAGTTCCAAAAAAACCCTCGCGGATACTGAAAAATGTGAATTACAGTGAACACTATTTTAATAGTGAATGCTATACATAGCATGGTTTCTGGCTCCCTTTAGTGATCCATTCTGGTAATTTCATCTTTAGAAATATATTTTTCTAGGATTTTTCTTTTTAATATTTTCAAACCGTGGATAAGTGAATCAGCGGATACGGATCCTGCAGATAAGGAGGTCTAATTGTATTCACAAAGGGGAAGCGGCTGGGGGATTCTGGGCATGGTAGTTCAAAAGAGGAACCTTTCCAAACTTTACTCAACAGGCAGTGTCAAGCTATCCAAAGCTCAGGAAAGATCAGCGGCTATAGACTCACCTGCCAAGTATCAAGACATCCCCTACAAAGCAGGTGCCCGCACGGTTGGATCCGGACATTCTTGTCATTCTCCGCACAGATCTTGCAAAGCTGGAAGGTGGAGCCCACCTGGCAGTAGAGTTCAAACTGTTCCTGTAGCAGAAAGCAAAGAATCCCATCATCATCATCATAATCACAATCATCATGTGCCTTAAGATTGTTTCAGACATATGATAAATCCTTCATAATTCGTGGGTGTGTTCATGCAAGCCTGGGCATGGGTCTAAACTTACCTGGGAGACCTGAATCCGGTTCTGTGAAGAGACCTCCGTCAGGTCTGTCAGATCTGGGTTAAAGTTCTTTCCATCCGGATACCGGTAACTGCAAGGTGAGATGGAGCCGGTCAGAATTTCCTGTGCACTTTGTTACTATTTTGTTGGTGTTCCAGTAAGAGGGAGCCGGGTGTGAGAGAGGTATATAAAAGTATGCATCAATAAAAGAAAGTACAGTAGGATCCCTGTATCTGCGGGATCAGTATCCACTGATTCACTTATCCACAGCCTGAAAAATATTAAAAACATTAAAAGAATAATCCTAAAAATATGTATTTCTAGAATGTCATTAGCAGAACTAGCCACTAGAGGGAGCCACATACTGTATGCTATTTGCTATTACCACTTTTGCAATAATCTGCATTTTTCAGCATCTATGGGGGGCGGGTGGGTTTGGATTTTACTCTATTGACGGATAGGATTTTGATCTAATCCTTCAGTATGTGTTCGTTTTGAGATATTTAATTGTTATCGGAATCGCTAAACCGTATATCTTCCTTGATGGCATGGGAAAGTAACATTTAACCATTCAACTTTTCCCAGCAAGACTGGCAGGAGTTAAGGCCACAATCTTATGCAGATTTACCTTCAAGTCACTCCACGAAGCCCGGTAGGGCTGCAAATTGCAGATTGTGCCGCCTATTGTCAAAGCTCTCTTAAGTTTCAGAAAGAAGATTTTTAAAAGAATAAAAAAATATATCGAGCAAGGTCCATTTCTGAAGTTTTGCCAAGTTACAAAGAAAGGCAAAACTCTATTTTCAGCTGTCTAGGCAAATCAAGTTCGCTAAAATTCCCAGAAACCTCTAACCAGCATGACCACAAGGCAATTCTGGAAGTCATCATCCTAAAAGATAAATTTCTCAGCTTTGTTCTCAACCAGCGTGCCCCCGCTTTCACTCAATCACTTACTAGCCTTCCTTCGACCCGTCAATGAGTGCCTGGAACAGAGGTTTATTCTGTGGAATGGTCTGCAAGATGCTCCCGTCCTCCGTCACGTAGCCGATAGCCCACTGGCCGAGTCGGGTGCAGCTGAGTCGGAAGATATAGCTTAAAAAAGAAGCAACAGTGGAGCTGTGATCAGAATAAAAGTAGGGGACAACTCGAGTTTTTACAACCCCACATGCTGCCTCTAGAAATTGTGGCTGGGAGGGGCTTTCCTGGGCTGGCCTGCCTGTCAGTCTATCCAGTGGTAACCAATCATTTCTTCCCTGCCTCTGAATTCAAAGCAGCCACGTTGGCGAGTCTGCTGTTTGATCTGCTTAACCGTATGTAAAGAAAAACATTTTAAAAGTCTTTTCTTTCCCCTTCTAATGTCTCAGAGTGATTTACTGAGACGGTCGGTGCCAGTTAATGAGAAAAGGGGATAGTCTGCTCTGGGAAACGTGATGTTATTCTGCTTTGTGAATCCCCGCACCTCTGCTGCACAACTCATTAAAGTGTTTTCTAAGCCAAGAGTTTAATTAAATTGCAATTGGTTACAAATTTCAACCCAGCTCACGTCTCATAAGAATTTAGGAAAATAGGCACATGTCTTGATTTTGGGGATATAAAGAATCTGAGAACTGAAACATTCAGATGTGTGAGAAATGGACAGATTTTCTCCAAACTTCATTTAGGCCATTTGCTTAGGGACCATTTGCTCTAAACGTAGAGGATCGTTTTACCTGCCCGGCTTGCTGGTGTATGCCTGCAGACGCGCCTTGACTTCGTCGTAGGTGAGGAAGGCCATGTACCCCGGATGTGTCACGGCGAGGCATGTCCAGTTCTTCAGCAGGGTTGGCCAAGGCTGTGGTGAAGAGGGGTCACCGAAGGATCAGATCAGAACAGACACAGCAAGAGAGGGACATCAGAAGGACTGCACTGAGCCGGGTCCAAACTCCCTCCCACCCAGCAGACTTAATTTGATGGATTATTGCATGGTTTCCTGTTGGTATGAGGAGAAGTCAAACATGTAGCAATGCAGGATCGCCTTTGATCATGCTGGAGAAGTTTGCTGGGTGCGATCTCCCTTATAGCAACTCTGATATGCACACAGGATCTACTCCAGCCCAGATCCAAAAAAAACAAACAGATTGGGCGCTGGACCCAAAAGGTCCAGACTGGGAATGGAAAAATGTCAGGCTGGTTTGTAATATCCGGTAGGTCAGTGGTCCCCAACCTTGGGCCTCCAGATGTTCTTGGACTTCAACTCCCAGAAATCCTGGGCAGCAGAGGTGGTGGTGAAGGCTTCTGGGAGTTGTAGTCCAAGAACATCTGGAGGCCCAAGGTTGGGGATCACTGCTGTAGGTCATCTGGTTGGCAGAAAATAGCTCACATTGGACGGTGCTGCAAGCATTCCAAAATGCCAGCTGTGTTGCTATTTATCCATACCCAAAGTGGTGTTTTCCTATAGAAAGTGTTGGGAGCTTTTGCAACCTCGCATGCTCCCTTTGATAGGTTAGGCTGGGAGGAACCTTTCGGGTCTTTGGCTGACCTATTAAATTGCCCGGCACTAAACCATTGATTCTTCCCTGCCTCTGAATTCAAAGTCAGCCCCATCATCTCTTTTCCCTCTCTCATGCCTGTTGAGGTCTGTTCCTTGAAAGCGGTCATGCTTTGTCTGTTTGCTGTTTGATCGGCTCGATTTTAAGTCACCAACGTTTTTATTCTTTCTCCTATTTATCTCTCAGAGTGAGGTATCGAGACTGTAAGTGCCAGTAGATGAGGGAGGGAAAGAAAGGGTGGCCTAATCTAGGAACTTGAAGCTATTAACGCTCTGTGAATCCTTGCACTTCTGCTGTGTAGCTAGAGGAACCGAAGCAAAATTCAAAACTCTGCAATAGAAAGTAGGGTCCATAACAAGATGTTGGAATGTAGAGGGGCCCTGTTTGGTTTTCCAGAATATTCTAGATTCCTTTTCTATAATACTTCATTCCATTTCCTCCCCTCCAACCCCACCCCAGCTTCTGGTCTTCTTTTCTGACTGACACCTGTCATTCTGTGCCTAGCAAGCACACGCTGGCTGATAAGCTTCTGCTGAATTGCCCTGTTAATTTTACGTCTTGTCGCTTTAGAGACCTCAGAGTTTCCCCGGGTATGTTCAAAAAATCCTCTTGTTTCTTGTTAGTCCAATTTGACTCCACTTATATTGACACTGGCTACTTGTGTTTGCTCTTAGAGCAAGCAACACACAAACGTAAGCTGTGGCAAGCTATGGGTTTCCTGAATAATTATTTTTGCTTGTTAAGCGGCAGGGATAGCTAACCGCTTTTTTAAAAAACTCAAACAAATAAATTGTCTCTCCCGACTTGAACAGATCTAAGATGACCGCAGAGGCTCTCAGCTTTTCAGAAATGGAAACTTTATGACCTCCACAAATAGCTACCGCGGACCCTCTCACACCACCCACAGAGGGAGGCTGCGTATAATGGACTTAAAGAAACCACATCCTGCTGCAGTGTGAGCATCTCGGCTTGTGATAGGCATGACTGCAAGCCTGCAAAAAGACACAGATCATCCGTGGGGGTTTGGTGGGGGGTGGAGAAGGAAGAAGTGTGTAGTTTAGAAGGCATGCAGTTGACAGATGCAACCAAAATACTTCTCATTGCAGAGGTTCAGGAGAAAGCGCTAAATTCCCAATTGTGTAATGTCACATCTCAAATCTTAGATTTTCAAATTCTCCCTCTTCTCTCAGTGTCTTCTTTGGAACATGTCTACCACTGTGCAAAAAGTCTACAGTGTGAACTTACAGATCTCTCTATTCAGAACATGTACACTGAATTCGGTGGGGGTCACTGCACCTGCAGTTTTATCCAGTTATATTTTTTCACTCTCCTGCTAGCTAGAGGAATAAATGTTGGAATAAGTTTCATGGGTGCAATCCAGTGGGGAGAAAGGATTGCGTTTGATCACGTCAAAGAAGATTGTTCACAGAGGGTCTCAATCTTAGAACAATCCTTTTGCGCAAACAGGAGTCACTCCAGATTCTTCCCAAAAGTACCAGAAGCCATGAGAGTTAAAATAGGCTCAAAAGAGCCAATGAGTGTTATTTACAAAGGCAACTGTGATTTCTGGGAATAGATGGTGAGCAGATGCTGGAACTGGGTTGATAAAAACATATACATAAAAATAAAATAAAATATCGACTACTACGTTTATCCAACACCAAATCATGTTTCCTAAACATTTTTTAGATTTTGCTTTCAAACACTCTAGTGTTGATTATTTTGAACCTGAGATACAAAAGCACAGTAAAATGCTTCAGTTTTTTTTAAACATCATCATAACTGGCCTGCCCAATGTTCCTGTCTCTTATCAGCTGTACCTGGAAGAGATGGGTGAAAATATCAAACTCAAAGACAGAGATGTGTTTGTTGCAGGTGAGATCAATGGTAGACCTCAATGCCATGGCCATCGGCCCAGGATCCAGAGGGTGGATATGATGAAGGCCTTCTCGAAATTCAGCCCAGGATACCAAACTTCTGTGGAAAGAAAAGAGGAGATGACACAAGTGTGCCCCCCACCCCTAAAAATCAAGTTAAACCAGTGATTGTGACTGTGGTCGTTACCCGAACTTAGAATTTCTGAAGAAAAAAAGTGAGTTGCATGCGTTTTTTAAATTTTATTTTAAATTTTGTTTCATTTAAACAGACACATTTATGTGAAATTTTAAATTATGAATGGATTATTTCGTTTGTTGAAAGGGGGTTAAATGATGGTAAAGGAAAAGGGGCTGGTGGGCGGGCGAGTGTTCTCAAAAATCGAAGAGGGGGTGTGATGATGAAAAGTTTGCAAGTGGTGGCTCTAGCGATCTCGCTTCTAAACGCAAGCGAGAGGGAAGCAAACAGACCGTGTGAGCATGCAGGGTTACGGGCTTAGCGCCTCACCTTCCACCCCACGTCTCTCTCCAGAAGGATTGTGCCTCTGATTTGTTGAGCTGATAAGTGCTCCCTCCGTCTTTCCCGTCAGGAAACAAGGCCCGAACTTCGGCCAGCATGTGGTTGAAGATCAGCGAAAGCTTGGTGAGGTTCCTTCTGCAAGGGGAAAAGTGAGAAGGGAGAGACAGAATCCATAAACCAAAGGCCACTGTCTTATCGCTGTTGCCGTGGTACAATTCATAGGCTTTGAGCAGAGAGATGCTTGGGTTTTAAAAAGTTGAATTTTTTTATACCTTTTGCAACATCAAAAGCTTTACCTGTCTAATTTGAAGCCTGTGGCTGTCAAAAATGGAAAGAAAAGAGAGAGAAAAACAGTCCTGGTAAGAAAATAGAGGGCTTTAGAGGTTTGTTGAGAGAGAGAGAGAGAGAGAGAGAGAAAGAAAGAAAGAAAGAAAGAAAGAAAGAGAGAAAGAAAGAAAGAAAGAAAGAAAGAGAGAAAGAAAGAAAGAAAGAACGAAAGAAAGAACGAACGAACGAACGAACGAACGAACAAACAAACAAACGAATGAACAAATGAATGAACGAACGAACAAGGACAAAACAGGACAGAACAAAGCTTTCTGGGCAGTTCTTATGCCTTTAACAACACCGCCTCTGTGCCTAGAGTCTTTGTACCCATGGAGGTCATCTGGGACTGCCCTTCTAAAAGTGCCAAAGTTGATTATTCTGGGGGATAAGATCTGTATGCTCTGGAATTCTCCTCCCGAATCATTGCAAATTCGAACATTCCTACAGGAATTCGGGAAGGGGGTGAAGGCAGAATTATTCAGACAGGCCTTTAGATGGTCTTCAATTGCTTTTTCCACCACTCACGTGGTAGAGCATTATGTGGCCATGTAGATAAGATGAAATCATTTGGTAGCCTTACTGTTGTTGTCCATTTCTATTCATGTTTTTATCCAGTTACGTGAAATATTTCATTATCGGACAGTTATATTTATTTGTTATATATGTAATGGTTGTTTGAATTGTGACGTACACCAGTCTGAATGTCTTTGGGTAGAAGAAGGGTACATAAACGAAAATAATAAGAATTAACATTCGTACGTGTTGTATAAGGCGGGAGCTATGGCAACAGACGTTTTTCCAGGCCTGGAGGCAAATATCATTCATTTAACTGCCGCAGAGTTCAGAAAACGTTATATGTGAAGCAAAAGTGGCCAGACTTTGTAAGTGGCTCTTACAAAGAGGGAGGGAGAGAGTTTGCTTACCGAGGAACTGATAAAAGCAAAATCAAAGTCCAGCTCTCAAATTGGACTTGCAAATAGATGGTGTGTGGTTGCCAACTTTTTCTTTTTTAACCAGATCTCGCCCTTCTGCTTTTAAACCGCATTTCACTCTCCACATTTTGTTAGGGTCTTTCTCTTGCTGTGTCATAAATGGCTTTGCTTGCTTGTTTTCCTTTTTGCATCTCTTCAAATTATTGTTGTTGAACATGCCTACATAAGCCCAGCTATTTCTCTTGTTCCCCCCTCTGGTTCTTTGGCAACTTTAGGAACAAGGTGCAGATGCCACGTCTCCACAAAACCCTTGGTTACTGGCCTTTCGTACCTTAAACTCCACCATCTGCAGGAAACTTGAGTCCCGCCATGTCAGAAACAAAATAGCCATTTTTTTCCCTTTGAGAAAAGATGTTTAGGTCTGGCAAGGTCTTTTCAAGACACAGAAGCCGACGTGTGTCACATTCTTATTTACCAACTTCCCTAAAGTAATAAACAAACCGTTGTTCTCTTCCAAATCTTAATCTTTTACACGCAGTTGTAAATAACAAGATTAAAAAGAAAGATTTCCAAAGGAGCGTCCACATGGACAACAATCAGCATGAGGTCGGGCTACCTGCTTTTTCCCCCCTTAATAGATTTTTGTCTTTATAGAAGGGAAAGAAGGAGATCAAGGGAGGGTTACAAAGAAACCAGGTTTTTCCCGAACTTTCCTACTATATATCTATAAAAGTACTGCTGTGAAAAGGGGGGGGGGGGAGAAAACCCAGAAAGGTATTTACATGGTTATAAATGCTCTGTTGATAATATTGATTATTTATGGTAACTTTTGAGGACAATAACATTGCACCAGTTGTAAGTAAACACATATAGACTGAAAGTATAATTCAATCAGCAATGGAACATTTTATTAATTTTTAGTAATTGTTATGAAAACGCTGCACCCCACTCTTTATATTATTATTTCTTTTCCTTTATTTATTTATTATTATTTTTATTTGATTTGATTTGTATCCCACCCATCTGGTCTATACGACCACTCTAGGTGGCTTCCAATATAACATAAAAGCAATAAAATAACACAAAAATATTACGCATTTTATTACATATTTTTCTTTTCACTTGCACTAGGGCAACACTTGTGCGTCACCGCTGATTGAGAGACTCTGTCGCATTTCAGACAAGACCACTGTACAGTCAGAGCCTCACCGGTGTGAGCAGCCTCAAGGGATTGGAAAAACCTCTCCTTCCCGAAGCCTAATCAGAGCAATTTTGGTGCGCCTCTAGCTATAATGTGTCTTTATAAGTATAATCACAACAGTAGTAAAACCATGCCATCTTTTACTATGCTAGAGGCTCTGTGCGTTTAGGAGCTGCAGCGTGACAGGCAGAAATTCAAAAGGTATAGCCTTCTTTTTACAAAATAATAACAGTTCTATTTGGCTAGATACCACTAATCTTTTCCAGACCCGACTGCTGTTAGCAGGGCTTTCATCCATCAAAAGAACTGAGGACCTAGGGGGTCCCACTGGTTTTACTCCAAATGATTAATGTAGCTGCTAACTAGGTAGATTAACCAAAACCTGGCTGGTCCCCTGTGGCTGCGATGAGGCAGAGATCTAACCCATCCTGTGGTCTTGCACATGGTGGGGTTTGAGGAAGACAGGGAGGCAAAAGGTGCATTTGCATGTATCTTGATGAAGAATTCTGGATAACTCTAAAGCTTGCACAGTTTGCCAATTGGATTTTTAACTTGATCCCGATAAAGCTATCGCCTAGCGGTGGAGTTCATATTTGGTTTTCTCCCAATGGATCAGAACAGCCATTTTAGAAAAATTCTTGCACCAACGTCCTCCATAGAGCCAGCCGAGGACTAAGATAATGGAGCCATTTCTTTGGAGCATCCCTTCCCTGGGATCTCCTCCTCTCTTTCTCCGCCGGTAATCCTTACCTGGACGTTGAACCTTCTTGGAAGATTTCATCTTTCTCCTTCCTGAAGAGTCGGATGGCTTGTTTCAGCTTCGCCAGCAAGTTGGTGAGGAAGATGCGGAAATATTCTCCCTCCCAGAGCTGGGCCAAACCTGCCCCGTACTGCTCCCGAATAAGCCTCAGGTGCTGGTGCATTTGGGGCAGGAGGGAAGGCAGGTGTGGCGGGCTGTTCCGGAGGCCCAGCCTTGGCTGGCTTACCAACTGCTGGAGCTTCGCCAGGCCCTGGAGGGCTTTCTCCAGAGAGCGGTGGGCCGAATCCCACCGAAGGATCCGGGAGGGTTTGGGTGAGGTTGCCATAGCCGAAAAGGGGGGGAAGGAAGGATAAAAGGGGGGCCAAGCTCCATACAAAAAAAAAAGAGAGAGAGACTAATCCAGCCAAGGTTTTCCGGGTGTCACCGGTGGATCCAGGGCAGCCGGTTTGAGAGGGCAGTGCCTACCTCGCATCAGGAAGAAAGTTAAGAGAGAAAACAGGGAGGAGACGGAAGGAGAGCAGGTAGAAAATGCAAACGCCGGGCGAACCGAGAAGGGGGAGAGTGTGGGGGGAAGAAATAACCTTCAAAAGGAAACAACGAACAGCCTCAAAGAGCAAGAAAGCCTTGGCAACACACCACACGGTGCGCAGAACAGTGGCCACAAGTACAGGGGGAGAGAGTTGGCAGGCAGGAAGGATGGACAGGCAAGATGCTCATGTAAAAAACAACAACAACAAAGCTCATTTGTTTGCCTTTAGGGCATGAGGCACTTCCCAGTGTGCCACAGTTATCTCCCTCTCTCTCTTTGCTATAGCGCTATTTTCTTCCCTGGCTTTATGCGCTCGGTGCTGTACAGAGAGGTGGCCATGGACGGCTGGCCTCATCTTTTTAGCTCTTTCCTGAGAAGGGGAAAGAGTGTCTCCCCTTTCATTCTGGCAAATATTTCAGCTGGATTTTTTTCATGTTCTCTGCTTTTTCCCCTTTCGCTGTTGTCCATTTATTCTCCTTCTCCATTTCTCTCTCGCCTCTCAGCGCCACGTAGATTTCTGACCGCTGAGGTCAACTTTAGACGTGACCTCTGAGGCTCATGCCATATACTGTGCATCTTTAGAATGGCATGACATGCTTCCTTTGGGGGTGAGAAACCGAAATAAATTTTGCCGAGAGGGTTTTACAGCCAAAGGAAGGCCCGGTCCGCAAAGACGCCTAGCGGGCCCAAAAGCAAGCAGACGTGATGATCGGCTAGACGCTCTAGAAAAAGCATCAATAGGACCTAACCTGGTCCTTTCCAGATGTGCTTCAGTACAAAGCCCATCATCCTCAGTTAGCCTAGTCCATCCTGCCTGAGGCTCTGATTGTACGCTTCTGGAGAGCACCGGGCCTAGGAAAGGCTAAGATAGGAAATAAGAAGCAGGCCTCAGTGTTTCACCGCACACTTCAGGTTGGATGTTAAGCCTAAGAAGGAGAAAGGGAATGTGTTGGGGGGGGAGAGAGAAGTCCAGAGATGATGCTAAGCATGGTGTAAAGCAGTGGTCTCCAACCTTGGGCCTCCAGATGTTCTTGGACTGCAACTCCCAGAAGCCTTCACCACCACCTCTGCTGGCCAGGATTTCTGGGAAATGAAGTCCAAGAACATCTGGAGGTCCAAGGTTGGGGACCACTGGTGTAAAGGACCCCGAATTCTCAGTCTTGCAAAATTGAGTAGAGAAGGTGTGATACACATTAGCCCTGGACTGCAAGGAGAACCAACCTATTCGTTCTGAAGGAAATCAACCCTGAGTGCTCCCTGGAAGGACAGATCCTGAAGCTGAGGCTCAAGTACTTTGGCCATCTCATGAGAAGACTCCCGGGAAAAGACCCTGATGTTGGGAAAGTGTGAAGCCCAGACCTAGTTCCAGAATGTAAATGTAAAAGAAAGAGGGAAGAGGGAAAGAGGAATCAGTTAAAATTCTTTCTCATTCAGCTCTTAAAAGATGTAGGAGATCTGTCAGAAATAAAGGTGGCAAATTTAGGCGGGAAGGGAAGCTGATTAAATTCCAGCTGTGTTTATGACAGAGAAGATGTGTGAGTAAAGTGTAAAGCAAGGTGAATGAGGAAGCAGAGCCTGAATTGGTCTTACATCATGTTTTACCCAGAGCTACATAACAAGGAACTCCAAGAGGAAGGACAGTTGGGTTTGCCAGAGGGCTTGACTGTCCAGGATGAAAGAGAACAAGAGCAGAGCTGGAGGCGGTTTTCACCACGACCTGGTTGACCTTTGGGAGAGTGGCTCAGTCACAGCTCAGGAAAGTCACCTGTGGAAACTACAATGCCCAGAATCCCCAACTAGGTGGCTGCTGGTGTTGGTGGAGTGCATAGTTCTTCCAAAATAACATTTCGAAATAACTGGGTGGAGCAGCTGACAAGCCGAATGGGAAATGGAGGACGTGACTTTCTGTACCTGTACAGTCGGCTGTGCTTCGCTCACCTGGGAGCCCCACCCTTTCTTACTCACCTGGGCGTCAAGCCTGGAAACTATTTGCAAAGGCAAGGGAGAGCTTGCGAAGGATTGGTTTCCAAAAAAGAAAGTGCTCTTTCGCAAAGACCACTTGGGGGCGATACTGGTCCATTCTTTTTTCGCTCCTTTTTTTGTGCGGCGAATAATTTTTGCAAAAGGGCGAACGCTGTGTGTGTTGTGTGCCATCAAGCCGGAACAACCAACTTTCAGCAACCCTGATAGGGCTTTTAAGGTAAGTGAAATATTCAAGAAGTGGCCTTACCAGTTCCGCCTTCCCAGCCAGGTGCCATGGCTGAGCAGGGATTCGAACCCTGTTCTCCAGAGTTCAGGATTAGTCACAGCAAAATCAACAACAAAAAAGAGGATGCTGGAAGCCCTCAGTTTAGCATCATCATCATCAAGCTTTTTCCAGGCTCTGACCTTAAAGTGTAACACGCTGATCATAAGGTGAACTTCTGATCACTGCATCCCAAAATAAGCAATGAAATCCGTCTAAAACTACCGAATTTTTCTGCATATAAGACTATACTTTTGTCTAAAATCTTTAGAATAAAAATTGAGGGTTGTCTTATAAATGAAAGTAAGCTGAGGAGATAACAAAAACAAGTGGAGAGGAAAGCAGGGATCAAAGTGATCCTGCAGGGCTTTGATCGCTGCTTCCCCCTCCACTTGTTAAGCTCCACTTAGAATTCTTAGTTTTGGGTTAGAAAAGTGGGGGGTGTTTTATACATGGGGGGCATCTTATACACAGAAAAATATGGTACAGCATATCCTTTTAGTGAGATGTCTTAACACAAATATGGTGTGCTAAATATGGATGCAGTTGCTTGTGATCTTAATGCTTGGCAGGGTGACTTCAAAGAAGTAACACGGTTTCCAAATTCTGATTATGGTGGATTAATACTTCTGCTCCTGGATTATCATAACTTTTAGAGATTCGGTATGCCGGGAGCTTTGTTGCTAAACTAATTCTTAGAATTTATGCAGTGTGCTTCAAATTGTTTAAAATCAGGGCCTAAGTATAGGGTGGGGCAGAAAGAAGGGTGTGTGACTGGATGCTGGAGATATGGAACCAGTGGCTTCAGGAGGTTAACTCCATTACCATTGAGAATAAATAGTATAACCTTGATGGACACTTAGATATCTGTATATGTGTAATTGTCCAGATGTTCTGTCATTTGCAGGAACCAGCGTTACAGTGGATGAAGGCAAGCAACATTCTGGTTGTTGGTCCAGGGTCTTCTCAAGAACAGGGAGTCTGTGTTGTTGATGGTGTTAAGCTTGGCCTGCCCTCTGATAGATTTGTGCTTCCATATGTGACATGGCTGTCATGAGAAAAGAAGACTCCTTGGAAAAGACCCTGATGTTGGGGAAAGTGTGAAGTCAAGAAGAAAAGGGGACGACAGAGGACGAGATGGATGAACAGTATCATAGAAGCTACCAGCATGAATTTGACCCAACTCCGGGAGGCAGTGGAAGACAGGAGGGCCTGGCGTGCTCTGGTCCATGGGGTCACGAAGAGCTGGACACGACTAAATGACTAAACAACAACATGTGACATGGTCTCTCAAGAATGACAAATCCCCAAATCCCTTATGCATAGACAAGAGGGAAGGATGCCAGCAGGGAGGATGAAAGAGAAACCAAGCATGGCCATAATCAGGGACTTTGATCCTAGCAACACTGACAGCCGCCGAGTACAACTTTCAATAGCCCGACCTTATACGTGCATAAACAGACACTTCATAAAGATCTTCCGGAATTTTTCTTTGTTAAAATGTTGGAAGGGTAAGCAAATAATTGAGTCTACTTTTTGGAAAAGAGTATGGAACTATTTCCAGTGTTCCTTATTCAACGAAATTTACCCAAACCAAAAAAAACAAAGGAACAAATCGCAACCCTTACTTATTTTCCATGAACTGGGCCTATTCGGCTAGCACTCAGCAAAAAAAAATTGGTCAGCGGAAAAACCCCTAAATTTGCATGTACTTGCCCCAACTCTGTTGACGCTACGTTAATGCTGTAACGGTAACAAGACACACAGGCTTTGAAAGTAGAAAAATACTTTATTGACAAATTAGGAAGGGGGAAGCTAATCTCTTCCCCAGTCCCTCTTTTCTACCGTGGGAGGAACAGAGGGTGTTATTTTTCAAGTATTGGTCCCTATAAAAGCAGGGGAGAAACAGCAAGAAAATTGATGCAGTGGGGGAGACTCCAGAGACCTTGCTCCTGTTAGGGTTGAGAGTTCAGGGAGCTTCATATGAGTGATCTGGAGAGAAACAGAAAGAGCTTTCCCTTTGTGAATTGTACTAGTGGTCCACCTAGTTCAATATTGCCTACACTGATTGGCAGCTAGACTTTCAGACCTTCGAGTTTATGGTTTTTACCAGTCCTAGTTGGGAATATTGAAGACATGCAAAACTCTGCTACCAAGCTATGGGCCCGCATTTCTTCCCAGTACTAAGAAAGCTACTTTCTAGCAGTTGAAACTTACAATCATCATCATCAACGTAGAACTGCAGATCTGGAAAGGACCCTATGGATCCTCAAGTCCAGTCCCCCTCAAGGAGGCACAATAGGGAATTGAACTCCTAGCCTCTGGCTCTGCAGCCAAAGATCTAAACCGTGGAGCTATTGAACCAATTACAGTCTACCACCACGTGCCAGAGCCCTCCAGAGAGAGGACTTTCCCCCATCAACCTTTTAGCTGGTGATGCTGGAGACCAGCAGAGCCTGGCAACTCCAGTGTCACAGGGGCTGGGTGAAGTTCAGGGGAATGGATACACTTGGGGTTTTAGTCCAAACTTTAAGGAAGCTACCCAAAGGTGAATCTTGACTTATTGACAGGGGGAAGAGTTCAGCCCCTTGGCTAACTCCTGTAAAGTTAAAACTCAACGCCAGAACTGATACATCCCCACCCCCCTTGCGAGAGGTACGTCTCTGGGAAAGTGTGACCATGAAGTACATGCCTTGCCACATATCTGTAGCTTCCTCCACTCCCTAAGTGGTGCGCCCAAAAGAGCAGATTTCAAGAGACAAGTCCCCTCTCTTCCGGGACTAATTTCCTGCTGGAACCCTACTTTTAATTTTTCAGTTAGAAATCCCTCCATCTCTATGCCCCACTTCCTCCCTCTTTCCAATCATTGCATCCTACTGACTAATACGCTCCAAACCTTAAACTTCCCCTTATGACGACAATCTTACTGGGAATTTCTCAAGTTTCAATCCTTAAAGTACACACAGCATTCCTTTTTGCTAATTCACCCTTTTTACGAAACCCCCACCTCTGCCAGGTCCCGACAGCATTCGCTCGTGGGCCCTTTGTTCTTCCTGCCCTCTCACGCCGTGAGGCTTAAATGGTGCTTTCTGAAATGTACAATTTTATAACCGCTGACAACAGGGTGGGGGGGACGGGATCCGCCTGGCCTTTTCTGGGTCTTAAAAAAGGTAAGAGCTGTTGTGCCTTTAAAAAGGGATGGTTCATCTCAGGTTACAGCACGGCTCACTCAATGGGTGTGCAATTCAACCTCCCCTCCACTAGAGGGAGACAGAGAAATGAATTGCAGGTTGCTCTTGACATGGCTGCTAATGCCGCCATCATTGATTAGAGCACCATCTTGGATATTATTGCTGCATGTACCCAAAATGTTGACCTTCCATAACTGCAATGAAGCTGAGCCTGCCTAAGTAGTCATCTACGAGGAGTGAAAATGCAAGATGGGGGGAGAGAAAGAGTGGAATCGAAGTTGGAGGATGAAACAAACGTTGGCTTAGCAAGAGACCTGTAGAGTCATCTCAGCCTTGGCCATGTTGCTACATGCAATGCAAGGCACAGGGAATGAAGTCCGCAGGAGGTGCAGGAATGCCGGATTCCGAAGCCGAAAATGTGCGCTCCCGATTCATGCCAGGAACCCATAGCAGCAAAATCAAAAGATCTGTGGTTTCTATTGCTTTGTGAAGCCCAGTGTTCCTCAGAAAAAAATCTCCCATGGATGGAAAGTCCCCGGGAGAGCCTTGATTCTCTTCTGTCAGCTGTCCGCTGGACTGCTGTCGTTGCTTGGAGGCCACTGTCTTTCATCATCCGTCATGGGCACGTTTTCCAAGTCCATTGGCACCTGCGGAGGGTCCACTCCCATGCCCCTTGAGTGGATCCGATTGGCCAGGGACACCGGGGACAGGGAGACGATAGAATGATTCAAGCCAATAGGAAGCAGCTGGAATTGATGCGGTGGGAGGTGATTATGGTTGGACGCCGGAAAAGGATAGAGGGCTGGGTGGAAGGCTGGCTCCATGATGCTCTCACCCACCGGCAGGAAGTACTTGGGGGCCCCCAGGAATCCCATTGGCTGCTCCGACGTGGGTGGAGTCCGGCTTCTTTCCGGTTTCACGCCATATAAAGGGTTGGAGGGCTCATGGGTGGATATAATGCTCTCTGGTTTCTGGTTGGCTGAGTTAGGGGATTGTGTCGTTCTGTAGGGCTTTGGAGTCCGGGCAGGGCTGGGAGTGGTAGGGCAAGAATCGGGCGAAGCACACAACAAGCCTGCGAGGGAGAACAGAAGCACCGATAAGTAGCGCTATTCACCCGCTACGGAACATTTCCTTATTAACCGTTTGTCCAAAGGCGGAAACACTATATGAACAGAATCAGCCAAGCAGGGTAGTAGAGTTGGCTACCCGACTCCCAGCATTTATAAGACACAGAATTGTTGGAGTTGAAAGGGATCTACTAGGATCATCTAGTTCAGGGGTCTCCAACCTTTTTCACCCCATGGACCGGCTGGGGAAGGCAGGGTACCCCCGCGCTTGTGCGCATGCACAAACGAGCCCTCTCTATTGAACGAGAGAGTGGGCACATGCTCAAATAGCAGCGTGGCGCTTGTGTGGGCATGCTGGGGTGTGAACACATGCGCAAATCAGCTGTGCGGGGATGAGTGTGTGTGGGGAGGCCGGGAGGTCTGTCTCCGCGGAGGCCACGGACTGGCACCGGGCCGCAGACTAGGGGCCTCTGATCTAGTTCACCGAGCTGTTTCCTGTTCCTGCCCCAGTGCTGCATGGGAACTTCCTTTCTAGACAGGAAGCTAGGTAGGGCTAGGCCTAGCTGAGTCCCGCAGCCTTTCAGTTCAGGCCTTTTCTCCCAGGTGAGCCACATTTAGGTCCCTGTTAAGTGTGTAGAAGTCAGACAGAACTCCCAGAATGGGGAATGTTTGGATCTGTAGTCCAAGAAAACGAAAAATCCCAGCCCTAATGCCTGTCTCTTCTTTAGGGAAGGCTCACTCACCAGTCTGGGCGGGCCGGGTGCCGGGAGAGCTGGCCGAGCTATTGGCTGGAGACGACCCCTCATAGACATTGTCATGTGGTGGCCCCGGACGGGAGGCTTTTCCTCTCAGGATGTCAATCACCTGATGATTAAAGAGAGGGGGAGAGGTTCGCACAGCTCAGCTTGCCTCCATCTTCTCGTCTCAGGTGCCCCCCCGTACCCCTAACATGTCTGCAACACAAGTATCCTCTCCAGAATAGGGTCATGTAGGTCTCGAGGCACGACTGTTCCACAAAATGTTCGAGACCTAGCATTTTGTCAGGTGACGGATAAGGTCGAGCAGAGTGCAGACTTCCAGATGTTGTTGAGACGGCCACACTCCCAACCAATAGCAAAAACCAATAGTGAGGAATGATGGGAATTGTATCTCCCAAAACATCTGGAGGGTCCCATTCTGCCTACCACTACTTTTGAGCAACATCAGAGCTTCGGAAATTATATTTCAAAAACCAATTCATTACAGTTAAAACCCTCATTAGTTATTTTTAAAAGAGTGCAGACTTCCAGATGTTGTTGAGACAGCCACACTCCCAACCATCCCGAGCTTAGCAAAAAAACAATAGTGAGGAATGCTGGGAATTGTACCCCCAAAACAACTGGAGGGTCCCATTCTGCCTACCACTATTTTTGAGCAACATCAGAGCTTGGAAAATTATATCTCAAAAATCAATTCATTACAGTTAAAACCTCATTAGTTACTTTTAAAAGTAATTTGTTCCTAGCTCTTCGGTGGGAAAAAAGTGCGTCTTATGGTGCAAAAAATACGGTAATTTGTTCCTAGCTCTTCATAAGTAAATAATTACCATTATTTGTACAATCGAAAATGTAACTTTCAAGCTTCCTGTTTCTCAAATGTAACTACTTCATAATTACATTCAAAATGCATAACATTGATTTAAGACTCAAGAAGGCTCATAAAGGTCCTTGGTATCACTTGGGATCCCAGCCTTTTAGATATGGTCTTACCCTCTTATTCTTGGCCACCATCAGGGGGGTGTCGTTGTGGTAGTTCTTGAGGCTGCCATCTGCCCCATTGCGTACCAGGAGTCGCAACATGTCCAAAAGACCCCGGCCGCTGGCTGCGTGCAGAGCGGTGTTGCCTCCGTACGATTGAGCGTTCACGTTGGCGCCATGCTGTAAAATTGGGGAGACACAGAGACATATGATGAAATGAGGATAGAGCCGGAAGAAAGTTTAGGGAGATACGATTTGCCAGAACCACAGGACAGAGAACAGACTTGCTTTTTAAGGGCAGAACATGGATCTTCTTGACAACGAGGGAGGACTTCCAGCCAAACACACTGGGATAAAAATGCAGCAAACGAAATTCCTTACCTGGAGCAGCAGTTCCACCATCGGCAGGTTATTGTTCTCCACGGCATGGAGTAAGGGCGATCTCCCGCTCTTGATATCCTGAAAAGGACAAGAGAACATCGTTCGGATCACACTCCGGGGCATGGAATAGGGTGGGAAAGGTGACCCGAGCCGTAGGTCTTTCGTGAGAATCCATGGGGTCCATGCCAAGAGTTTTTCCAGATTTATGTGAACGCGTGTCCCCTTCCAGCCCATGTAACCTTCTAAGAACAATGGTTGCGAAGGGACCTGGTGCTGGCGTAGCTCAGTGGGTTGAAGCGTGGCCAGGAACAGGGATCCTGCTGTGCCTCGTGAGACAGAGGCAAACCGAGATCATCTGCAGCTGATGGTGCAACCCAAAACATCTAGCATGCAAATAGTTTGCCGATGCAAGTCACCTCTTGATGAGAGGGGAATATTCACATGCAAATACATCTACAGGCTCAGAGGTAGCCCCGTGCTTACCACAGCATCAACATCGGCTCTATGTTCCAGCAAAGTGAGAACGACCTCACGGTTACAGGTTCCAACAGCCACATGGAGCGGAGTGAAGCCTGGCCGGAAAGAGAAAGAATTGGGATATTTATAGGATGGAAACGTTCCAGAGAGTTTCCAAGACTCCTAGGGACCTGGGCCATGGAAGAATAAGCAAACATGAAATTCGCACGAGTGCTACTTTTCTACTTGCGGGGAGTTGTTTAAGATTTTGATGCTTTTTCCCCCAGCTGCAAGGCAAAGTGGCAGAGCCTATTGGGTTACATCTGGACTTCACGGTTACTCATCCTCACCATATGTTTGTCCCCTTCCCTCCGTTCTGTTCCCATCAATGCTAGCCATTGACCATACTGGCTGAGACTCATGGGAGTTGTAGTCCAACGATACCTGGAGAGCTACAGATTCACACTTGTGATTTAGATAATACGGCACAAGGGAAAGGTCAAACACTTAACTGCCATGTTCAAACAAACAGAGATGCATCATGTACGTTATGTTAAGGGTATCAGGTTAAATAGTAAAGAGAAAATTCTCTTGGAGAGAAACAAAAAGCTCTCTTTTTAAAAAAGACCATTCATTTGTTTGCCAGCATTTTCTTCTTAGATCCATCAACTACGTCAAGTTTTAAAGACATAAAAATTCCAGCAGTAATATTAGGAGAAAACAAAAGCAAACAAGAAGAGCAATTCCACGGGGAGCTGGAAATTGTGATAATACAATTGTGTATAAATTTTACTACTAGGGTAAAACATACAACACCAAAGCGATACATTTAAAACAAGTTGCCTTACTGGAAATAAATTTGATTGCCAGGACACAACCAGGAAGGAAGAGAAATTATAATTCCAGGAATACACTGCACCCCGTCCAGATTAGGTCTGGTATGATTCAAGGTGTCTGAGAACCACTCTTGCAAATAAAAAAATGCTCCCTGCTTTACTAAAAGCATCCGTATCGTATCTCATTGGGTCTCATTTTCCTGCAACAAGGATGGGCAAAATGAGCCACTGCAGATGCCGCTGGCAACATCTGGATAGCTACAGTTTGACCCCTCCCTACAGCTTCTCCCTTCTTACTCATTCATGCTCACCCTCAAAATTCCGGGCTTCCAGATCCAACGGGCTGGGTCTTCCGTCGAGTAACTCTTGCAGGCAACGGAGGCTGCCGTGTTCACAGGCAAGATGCAGGGCCGTCTGCCCGTTCCGGTCCAAGACCATCGGCGATGCGCCATGAGACAGGAGCAACTTCACCAGGGCCGGCTGGTCTGTGATGACAGCCAAGTGTAAAGGAGTCTGGAGTGTCAGAAAGAAAACATACAGGCTCTTGGGTGAAGAGCAAAGCAGGCTGGAGTGTGTCTCTTGTAGGGTCAAGAGACACACTCTTTTTATGCTATTTAAAAGCATAAAATAACAAAACTTGCATCATGAGGACAAGACGTGCTCGGAAAAAAACAATAATGCTCTCAAAACCAGGAGGAAGAGAAGACCCCAGGTCTGATGGACGGCAAGGAAGTCACAAACTTGAGTTTGAAGACCTGTTGAGAATAATACCTTCTGAAGGTCATTAACGCATAGCATCCTTGTTTTTGTTGTTGTTTAGTTGTTAAGTCGTGTCCAACTCTTCGTGACCCCATAGACCAGAGCACACCAGGCCCTCCGGTCTTCTACTGCCTCCCAGAGTTGGGTCAAATTCATGTTGGTCGCTTCGATGACCCTGTCCAACCATCTCATCCTCTGTCGTCCTCTTCTCCTCTTGCCTTCACACTTTCCTAACATCAGGGTCTTTTCCATAGCATCCTAGATGTCATTAACTCATAGGTTCACCATAATTTGGATGCCATTTGATGGCAAGTAGTCACCTTGACAATACTAATTATTACTAATTTGCTTTCTTTTAATAGGTACCACTTCTGAAGGTTTTAAAGGGGTGGTTGGATGACCTCTTCCGAGAAGCTTCTACAATGGGTTTCATGCATCAGCAGGGGTGAGTCTAGATGACCATCAGGAACCCTTCCGCTTCTACAGTTCTCTGAGTCTATCAAATTGGACATGCATCGTTACTTTATTGCTGGCAGACGGAGGAAGAGGGAGGAAGGAGTTACAATATATGTTGTTCCAGTTCACACAGGACTATATTCACAAGTCATTTCTGAGCAACTGCGAGCCAGCGGCTTTAAAGAAAGTTAAACACAAACACAGACACACAGACCCAGGTGCGGTGACTTCTCCAGTAAAGGACCAACTGCAGAAACAGAAACCCGGGACTTCAACCGAACGTTGCTTACGCACCCAGTGAACCAGAGGAAACCCAGACGGTTCCCACAGAACAAACCACAGCCCCTGGCACCTGCTGGCGCTGACGCACTCAGACGCTTCTCAGAAAGGGACGGACGGGCCCAGGAGGAGGTTTTATGAGAAACAGATAAGGAAACAGCAGTGTGTCAGTGACAGGTTACGATCGAGAAGAAGAGATCTACCAAGGGTACGGCCAGATTTTCAGCTCTTAAGACTCGTGCAACGTGCACATTTGGTGCATGCAGAAAATGCCAAATCAGAGTTCAGAAACCATTATTTCTTTGTACAACAACTTCCATCATACCTCCTGGTCTGACTTCGACTCCCAGAAGGACTGCGGGCCTGGAAGGGGGAACCTAGAGATCATCTAGTCCAGCCTCAGTCAAGGAGACTCAGTGGGGAATCGAACTCCCAACCGCCGGTTCCGCAGCCGGAGACCTCAGCCACTCAGCTGTCTGGAGACTACAATGCTCCTAATCCTCCAGCCAACATGGCTCCGGGGATGGGTGAATTTGTAGTCCAATAAGCCAACATTTGGACTTAAGGGTCCCCCCCCCCATGACTCTGACTTGACTTGCGGCTTGGAGCCCACCCTCCACCTTCTCTTTTTTTTTCTGGGGAAAAAAGGCTTGGTTTTAATAGGGACTTGGGCACGGGACTTGGGACTTGGTATCAAGGAGACTCAAACTTGGGACTTGAACCCAAAGATTTGCCAATACCCCTGACATCTTCTGCATCTCTCCCTTAAAGAGGCTCTTGTATCTCTCAGCCCATCCTCTCCTGGTCTCTCTGCCACTCCCCTACAGGTGTGCCTTGTCGACTGTTGTTTCATTGGTTCAACCATTTTGCTTCTGTATCAAGGAGACTCAAACTTGGGACTTGAACCCAAAGATTTGCCAATACCCCTGACATCTTCTGCATCTCTCCCCTAAAGAGGCTCTTGTATCTCTCCTGGTCTCTCTGCCACTCCCCTACAGGTGTTCCTTGTCGACTGTTGTTTCATTTGTTCAACCATTTTGCTTCTACCTGTTTTTTCCAAAAAAAAAACCCCCTGCAAGCTGCCCATCCAGAGGCCAGCTGGGGTCTCTCTCCCCAAATAAACGAATCAAGCCTGGACGAGGCAACCCTATGCAGCCACAGCTTCCCCTCCATCACCACCCCACACTCTTCCTCCTGTCTCACCAGCTGCTACTGCTGCTGCTGCTGCAGTGACTCAAGCCCTGTCGACTGACCACGCTGCTGCTGCTGCTGCTGCTGCTGCTGTGACTCAAGCCCTGTCGACTGACCACAGGGAGCTGTTTGCTCTTGAGTAACATATTTGAGGAAGTTGCCGAAGGGCTGGGTGCCAGCTGGGACAAGGGGAAGTCCCTTACGGTGCACCCAAGTGGCTGCCGGGAATTCAGATTGGTCTCTTTGCTCTCTGCTCACGCCTGCTGAGGTTGAACGGGTCTCCAGACCTTCATCTCTGGGCTTGGTGGCTTTCACTGCTCGGAGCTCAAATGCCCCTTTCCCACCTAGATGAGCTCCGATTTCTGGCAAATCCACTTTTCAACTTTGAGGCCATTTTCTTCTTTCTTTAGAGTCTCTCCCCACCCCACCCACAACAGCAGGAACTTTTAAAAAAAAATGCATGCCAAGTATACTGACTCTTCTCAAATACTGTGCAATGTGAATGGCCACAGGTTATTCCTGGGGATGTTCATGACTTTGTGTACCTTGGCTCAATGCTCTCTGACACTCTCTCCCTAGATGTCGAGCTGGATAAACGCATTGGCCAAGCAGCTACCACGTTCTCTAGACTCAGAAAGAGAGTCTGGCTCAATAAGAAGCTGACGGCATACACCAAGATCCAGGTCTATAGAGCCTGTGTCCTGAGCACACTCCTGTCCTGCAGTGAGTCCTGGACCCTTTGTGCAGGAGAGGAAGCTGAATAACTTCCACATGCGTTGTCTCCGACGCATTTTTGGTGTCACCTGGCAGGACAAAGTTCCAAATAGAGTAGTCCTAGAACAAGCTGGAATTTTTAGCATGCATACATTACTGAAACAGCGACATCTACATTGGCTTGGGCTGGTTTCGGGACAGCCTGGGCCTGCTGGACAAGGGTCTCTTCAAATTGGGAGAGGCCATGATACAACGCCTGCCTCCAGGCTGAACACTCAGAGGTCCAGGTTTCCCATCTGCTGAGGTCCATTCCTAAGGCCTTCAGATCCTGCCTGCAGATCTCCTTGTATCACAGCTGTGGTCTCCCTCTGGGGCGATTTCCCTGCACTAATTCTCCATACAGGAGATCTTTTAGAATCCAACCATCAGCCATTCTCACGACATGCCCGAGCTAACGTAGACGTTGCTGTTTCAGTAACGTATACATGCTAAAATTTCCAGCTCGTTCTAGGACTAGAAAATCCATTCAGTGATAGTGCAGGAGTCAAGAACCTTAAACTTAGTTACAGATTCCCCCTAGAGTCACCTTCCCTTCAGTCTGGCATTCTGATAGCCTTTGTGAAGAAAATCTCTTGTAACAAAGGCAAGCAACCACTACACCTACTCCAAGAAAAAATAAATAAAGCAACTTACATATTACTAAATCGTGACCGAGGAAAGAAAGGAGTGGAGAAGACATTCAAGTCCACCTGACAATCCTCACTGGTTACGGCTAAGTTTTAGATACACTGATGCTTTTTTTTGGCAACACTTACCTGCCGCAGGTTGTTGAAAGTGTCCAGGTCCCGATTTCCTTGATGAAAGAGAACAACCAAACGCTGGACTACCGGCAAATTCCCCTGAACCACAGCGATGTGGAGGGGTCTGGAACAGAACAGAGAAGGGAGCTATAGCAGTCTGAACACCAAATATCATGCTTTTTAATCCACTTTTGCAGGAACATGAGCTAGTCTTCAGCCAGTCCAGAGGTAACCCTGTGAATAAATCTTCTCATGCGGATTCCTTCATACCCTTGGCCCACACTTCCTCCCACCTCTTAATACCCAAGCATTATGTTTCCAGTTCCCCGTTCCATCATCCTGCCATTTCTCCTCACTTTCCTTGCATCTTGTGGCACCGATCAAGAGAGAAAGAAAAGCTTGTCTTCTCTTTCTGCCTTTCAGCTGGGCCCTTCTCACCTTCTGGAAAGGTCCAGAGCAGAGCAAATTCTCCCTGAAATTCACACCGTTCTTCAAAAGAAGGAAACGCGGAGAAAGTGGAGATTTTTGTAATAGGTACAGGTGGTTGGGCAAAACTGAGGTGGCCTAATGCTAGCAGTGCTGGAGCCGGTTCATGCTGTTAGACAGCATGAAGAATCTTGCCCTCAAGCCTCGCACACGGGGGACGGGGCATGAAAAAGTGTATTCGTTATCTCATTTGTTATCTCTGTTTTCTGCTCAAGAATCTTGCCCTCAAGCCTCGCACACGGAAGACGGGGCATGAAAAGTGTATTTGTTATCTCATTTGTTATTTCTGCTGGCAGCAGGAAAAGAGGAAGGGCAAATATGAGATGGATTAACTCAATACAAGAAGCCATGACCTTGAATTTTGCAAGGGCTGAAAGGAGCTGTTAATGACAGGACATTTTGGAAGCCTCTGGTTCATAGGGTCACCAGAAGCCCTAGGCGAGTTTGACAGCACAAAACAGGCACGGTTTTCTGCGAGGAAAAGTAATAGAGGCTTAAAGGATTGTATTTGGGGGAACCGAGCTGCAATATGGATTACCAAAGACAAGTCATTATTTTTTAAAGCAGCACAAGTTCCTAAAATTGCAAAAAAAGGGTCTTCTAAGCCTTCGTAACGGCCTCCCGTATTTCACGATGAGGTGCAGGCTGGGCTCAAAAGTCCCCCTATGCAACCCTTTTCTCTCTCTCTCTGCACACGCCTCGCCACCTCTAACTCCCTGCAACCTCCCCCCCCCCCACAAACTGCCGTTACCCCAAGAAGCTCCACATGACTTTGCAGAAACGTCTGGTTTACAATAAAACGAAACCTGAGCTATTGTCTCGGGGCCAAACCCAGAGCGCAGGGAAGGGCTTCTGTGCCGCAGCCCTTCCAGTAAAGGTACCGTGACCTTCGCTTCCTGTCTCACCACATGAGAAGGAGCAGCTTGTAGCAGTTTAACTTCCTTATCAGAGCAGCAGCATGACAGCGCTAAGATCCTAAAAGAGAAAATGGGCTCGGAGACCTATTGCTCTCTCTCTCTCTCTCTCTTTCTTCCCCCTTCGTGGAGATTCCCTGTGCCGGTGACAGCCACCTCTCTCTCCCTCTCTCTGGAGAGAAGCTGGGGACCTCCCTCTGAGCTGCAAGGCACAACGGTCCCCCATTGGGAGGACTCTCTTGTTTGCAAGAGAGGCGATGGAAGGATCAGGGCAGGAAAGGAGATTCTGGTCCTACCACCTGCCTCTCATCCTGTCAGGCTACGGGCTCGCCTCTTTCCTTTGTCCCTTTCCAGTAAAAGAGGAAGAACTTCTGCTAGTTACGTCAAACCCCGGCAGGGAGGAGCCGTTGCGTATACGGGGCGAGATGCTCAGTTGCCCGTGTGGAAGGGGATTCCCCTCTCAGCTTTGGGTGGATGCCGACGAAAGAGCAGCAGGAACGGCTTTCTGGGTGACAGTCGGAGCCGAGGCGCCTTCTGCTCCACCTCCCTCCCCTCCTCCCTCAAACACATGCAGAAGAGTGGGTTTGTGGAACGTCACAAGCTTCCCATGTTCTGGCATCTTAAGGATTCGCCGGCTTTTATTCTCATGTGTTCTAGCCCATGTCTGCCGATGTAACATCTATTTTGCAGCTGGAATCCATAAAGACGGATGCTCACCAGTCTTTAAAGTGACACAGAACTCTTTGGTGCACTGCGTGCAAGAGCAAAACATGGCTACAATCCCGTGGAATGAATCTCCCACCAACACGCCCAGCAAAAATCAGTTAAATGTCCAGGAAGACAGCACACCGGGACGGGAAATGCGCTCAGCTACAGAAGGGACCAACTTGTCATCTTAAACTTGTTGCTGGACTACAGTTCCCGCCTGCCTTGGGCAGCCTAGGCTACGGGGATGATGGGAGTTGCAGTCAAAACACATTAGTAAAAATTACTGGTTGACCTTCAGTCACTTAATCCCTCAGAGTGAGCTATCTCACAGAGTTGTTTTGAAGGCAGCTATATAACACCATCATGAATACACTGGAAGAAAGGTGGTTTATAATAATTACACAATTTCAGAAGACTGTGAGAGGCCTAACCCTGCCTTAATATCTGGTAGGCTACTCTCGAACATGGAGGTTCTATTTAGCTATTACATCCAACCCCCATTGACGGAGACATTTCAGAGAACTGGTCTAACCCTCTTATAAAGCATTCTAATGTAGGAGCCATTCCAGAAACAGTAAGGGAATAAACCTCATACATTAATTGGACGTCTTTTCCAAAGCAATATTCCTTTTCATTCATCCAAAACCTGCTGATGATGGCCTTCGTTAACGCGACTGCTCTCCTCCACCCCCATACTTCTGTTTTTCATGGGATAAGGAGTGAAAAAGGAGAAATAAATGCTTGGAAATGTTTTTTGGACTGTATTTCCCAGAATCCTCATCACTCCTATAGCTGGAGGGTTCTGGGAGTTATAATCCCAAAGCGCCCAATCTCTTATCTAGATGGGGGCAACCAAGCAGCCCTCCAGCACCTGAACTCTTTAGATTTAAGATAGATTTAAGAAACAAGAAAACATGATGGAATACAGGCATCATCCTACCCCATGAAAAGAAAGGAACTTCATAATAAACGGAATGGGATTTCATCAGTGTGCAATTTAGGATTCAAACCAATCTTATTTTAAAAACCTTGGCTGACATTCTCCCCCCTCTCTCTTTTTTTTAAGGAGTGCTACCATCAAGAGAGAATAACAAGAGTTACTTTTAAATTCATCAGACAAGAAGGGGTGATGTGGACATTCTCAGCTAGCGCACGGGCCAGTTTCCTTGACTACAGCATGGCTCATCCGGAGGCTGGAACTCTACGTGATCTCAGGGCTGCAAAAGGAAGGTTTCGCGGCCTTCCAAGGAAGAAATGACAGGCAGGAAGTACTCGATTGTTCCTGCTCAAGCCTTCCCCATCAGCTTACTTCTCCAACCAGTTTGGTGACCAAACGGAAGCATCGCGGAGGGACGGAGCGAGGCATGGCACTAGCTAAGCAACGCCATCCACCCTTCCCAGGCCCTTAAAGGCACTTCCTGTGACAGGCTTGTGCTTAAGAACCCACGCTGTGCAACACAGAACACCATTTAGGATAAGGAATCATAATTTAAGAACTGCAGAGCTAGAGGGGACCCCTTAAGATCATCCAGTCCAGCCCCTGTCAACGAGGCACCCTGGGAGAATCAAACTCCCAACTTCTGGTTCTGCCGCCAGAGACCTAAACCACCGAGCTATCTAGCAGTTCATGCATATCACTGGGGTAATAATTAATGATACATGAGACTACCGTATTTTTCTGTGTATAAGACGCCCCCATGTATAAGACGCTGCCACTTTTCTAACCCAAAATTAAGAAATCTAAGTGGGGCTTAGCAAATGTAGGGGGAAAGGGATCAAAGCACTGCAGGATCGCTTTGATCCCTGCTTCACTTGTTTCTTCTCTCCTCAGCCTACTTCCGTGTATAAGACGACCCTCAATTTTTAAGTTTAAAGATGTTAGACAAAAGTATAGTCTTATACATGGAAAAATACGGTAATTCTGGTAGAGCCTATGTAATTGGCCAAGCTATGTGGGGAGAAACGGAACACTGTTGGTGCCTCTCTCTGCCCAAATGGTGCCCAGCAAGAACACCCCGTATCATGCACCATCAGGGTGCAGCCATATAGTCAGAGAAGCCCATGAAGTTTGATTCAGGTTTCAGCCCCAGAATTTATTTTCAAAGACACTTGCCTTTGGGATAAAAGAAACAAGCATGCTTCTGAGCATGTACGGTGTGCTTTGCCATGACTTCTATTCAAGAGTCATTTAAACTCACACAGACCACCCTCAGCTCAAAAATGCCTCTCTAAAGCAAAGGTTTTAATTACAGCCTGCTAGCACCTCTTTTTCTCCCAGAGTTTTAGATCAGAAACAAGGATCTTATCCCCTGCGATATGCCTCCCTCCCTCCCTGGATAAGCCAACTCAAAGGAGAAGGCTCCTTTCTCTTACGTGTCTCCATCTTCGTCTTGCTTGGTTGCTGCGGCGATGTCCCAGGCCAGCTGGGCCTCTACTGGATAAAGCAAGGAATATCGTGCTGGGATGCCCAGTACGGGGTGCGGGGTCACTGGGTGTAATAGTGGAGGAAGCTCGGAGCTCAGGAAGGGACTGGGCAGACCTAGGCGAGTGGAGGAGAGAGAGAAAACACAAGCCAAATGAACCGTCAGAGTCAAAAGACCCAGGCATCCGAGAACTCCCCTCTTTATCAATTTTCAGGTCTGGGGGCAGCTTGAGAGAAATACCGTATTAAGTGGAAGGGAAAGCAGGGATCAAAGCGATCCTGCAGTGCTTTGATCCCTTTCCCCCTGCACTTGCTAAGCCCCACTTAGATTTCTTAATTTTGGATTAGAAAAGTAGAGGGCGTCTTATACATGGGGGTGTCTTATACACAGAAAAATACGGTATGTTGAAAAGCAATATCCTTAAATTAGAGCTGAGACTTTGGCAAGTTTCAGCTGCCTCCTAAAAATGGAGGGGAGCTATTTTCAGGCAAGCCATCCCAAACTTCACAAAGACAAAGGGTGGTTCACAGCCTTGATTAGGCCACAAAAATCTCACAAAGGAAGACTTGCGCTTGACTCCTCCGGGAGCCTTCTTCGGATCCACACTCAAGGAAGCCGGAGTTATTGCTTCTTGGAAAGAAAAGCTGCTCCTTTGAATGCGGGAAGGAGGCTGAGCTTGGTTGGGCAAATTCATGTTTGAGATTACAATTCCCAAATTCTGGAATTCTGGGCACTTGGCACCCCCGGTATCCTCCCTTCTACACGCGGCTGATAAAAATAACCAGATTGGTTGGTGTGTTATCACTGGCAAGATGAAAAATATCTAGATAACACTCATACTAAGAAACTCAATATATTCACACTCATTAAGGCAAGTGTTTTCGGGGTAATCAGACCTTGTTTTCAGAAGCACTTCTCGAGGTGTGCCAATCTGTATTCTGCCTGGGGAGAAATTCTGAGAGCCATCATTTAATAAACCGCAGGCTAATTAATTCATTTCAGAAGGGATGCCTCGGGCTTTCTTCCAAGGCTCACCTTTGCCTAGACTGAAGAAGGAGCCAGCTTGTCACTCCGGCAGGGCTGGCCGGTGACATGATGAAAGCTGGGCAACATGACGTCAGCGGTGGACGTTACCTGCCTAACATCATTTACTCCTTTGCAAGTGCTCCTCTTGACAACGGCTGGAAAATTTGCAAGCGATGGCTGGCATCATTTAAAGACCAAAAAAATCCAGAACCTGGTTCGTCAATACAGCTCGTCAATTGCACTACAAATTCTGGACCTTAGTCCACCCACCTTTGGCTCACTGGGCTGGCTTAAAGCCAGACCTGGAGATCTGGGTGATGAGAAGCTGGTGTTATTTCTAAACTGCTGGCCTTTCCAGTGAGCTGGCTGGAAAGCTCAGTGGGTTAGGTATCTGGACAAGAATCCAAAGACAGAGAGTTCAGTTCCCCAGTGTGCAATCCCAGAAGAGTCAGCCTGGGTGGCCTTGTGCAAACTGCACAGTTCCGGGATGACCCCAAAAGAAAGGAATGGAAAACTGCTTCTGAGTACCCTCTCCCTAGAAAACCTCTGAAAAGGGTCTCCATAACTCAGGACTGACTTCATTAGCCAGTCCAATAAAAATCCATAGAATACAGTGGTGTCTTGCTAGACGATGATAATCCGTTCCACTGAAATCGCTGTTTAGC